GTCTGCTCATAACCAGACTGTTGTTCCACTACTAAACTTTCTAAAACCTTCAAGATTTCAGACATTCTTGGTCTTAGATTCGGATGTGGCTGTGTACAAAGCAGAGCCAATTCCACAACTTCCTCTAACACCAAATCATCAAATTGTCCCTTCAAATCTCTGTCCACCATCTCTGTAAATCTTTTCTCTGCTTTCAATGTCCTTACCTGATTCAACAAAATCAATGGCTTTGATTAAAGTTTCGTCCTTTAAGTAGAAGGGACCTAATGGATCACTCGAAGTCAAGTAAAGTTTCTTCTTTCTGCAAAGAACTCAAAAGAATTATAAGTGAGACTCAATCTTATAGCTTACCCAACTCAAGATCATTCCTTTTCGAATTTGACCACCATTGCCTTGATCAATCATCTTCTGACCTGTTATGAGTTCAAGAATCAGTATCCCGAATCCGAAAACATCGGTTTTCTCTGATGATTGGCCTGTGGAAAGGTACTCAGGAGCAATGTGTCCAATTGTTCCTCGGACTGCGGTTGTGACATGTGAATCTCTCTGGTCTAAGAGTTTTGCGAGACCAAAATCGCCAACAATTGCTTCAAAGCTCTCATCAAGTAGAATATTTGCAGCTTTGACGTCTCTGTGAATAATCTTTGGATTGCATTGCTCGTGCAAGTAAACAAGTCCTCGAGCTGCCCCCAGTGCAATGCATATCCTTCGATTCCAATTTAGAGACGGCTTTTCTCCATAACTGTCTGAAGAAACCACAACGAAAAATGTCATCTTTTAAAGAACTTTTTCGCGTTATTTATATTGAAAGAACAACAAAAATTATGAGTTGAAACCTCTCAGGCGATCAGCGACGCTTCCATTTGGCATATACGGATACACGAGCATTCTCTCTTCCGGAGTCATACAGAATCCAAAGAGACGTAGAAGATTACGATGAACAGCTAAGCCAATCATCTCAACTTCCGTTTGAAACTGAACTTCTCCTGTATAATTCGGATCTTTCAATCTTTTAACTGCTACAACAGTGCCATTTGGAAGATACCCTTTATAAACCATCCCAAATCCTCCTTGTCCCAAAATGTTCTTTGGACTGAAATTGCTTGTAGCGGATTGTATTTCACGAAAACTGAACCTTTTCAGATGCCCAATTTCAAATTCATAGTCTTGCTGCACTAAAAAATCCATGAAAATGTCGTGGATTTTAGCAAAGTCTTAACATTGACTGTAAATGGTAGACAAAGAAAACAGATATTGAGAGACTTATGAGATGCGTACCGTATGATCTTGAGAGACGTGATCGATGCCAAAGCACCCAGAAGAAGAGAAACATAAGAGAAACGGTAAAGGCAACAACAATGCCAAATGTAAAAGAGAGAACTACGCTGTGATGTTTGCTATTGTCCTTTTCAGACAAACCTGGCGCTGCAGATCAATTACCATAAAGTTAAAACTTTATCTGTTTTATAATTACATTTCGCAAAGAATTTTCGAGGTAACATACCATTTCTCACAGGTGTAGCATCTGAGCAAAGGTCTAGGGAAGCTGAACCACAAAGGAATGCATTTCCTACGATCCTACAAAAGAAGAAACATTGTCAAGACTCAAGAGGATTTCACATACATTATAATGTGCGCTTTCTTTTACCTGTAGTCTTTTGCTAATATATTTGGAGTTGGTCCGCTTAGATTGTTAAAAGATAGATCCCTGTTGAAGTTTTTCATAAATAAACAACAGTCCTAAGAAACATAATACGAAATAGTAAATCGATAAACTGTTATGTTAGGTAGAGCAAGACATACAAGAAAGAAAGACCTGAGAGGCCAGCGACGAGGTGAGGGATTTGCCCGGTTAGAATATTTCTGCTAAGCCGCCTATACGAGTTAAGAAACACTTGTAAGATAATAACAATTACAAGATTGGCTTAAATCAAGAACCATTAATAAACATCAAACTCACAAGTAGTTCAAGTGAGTTAAAAACCCTAAAGAAGCTGGGATTTCTCCACTAAACCGGTTTCCAGATAGATCAAGAGTTTCAAGCTCGGAAAGTTGACCTAACTCAGAAGGGATTGGACCGGTTAACTGATTATTCTGCAGTAACCTACAAAAAGGCAACAAATAAAGCCATTGTATACTACAACAACACATTCTTGATTTCCAAGATTGACTTGCAAATTTTTCACTCACAATGTATGAAGATGTGTTAATTCCCCAATACTAGTTGATATAGTTCCAGATAATCCTTTACTAGCCATCTCTCTGCATATAAAGATTCAATAAATTATTCAAATGGTTTAGAAAAACGATTCTAAGAGACATTTCGTCGAACACGTGATGTGCATACTTACAAAGATCCAACGAAACCTTGAGAGGAACAACAAACCATGTTCCAAGTACAAGGATCAACAGAGTTTATATCCCAACCAGACAAAACCTCTGTTTCATCTTTCATCTTGTTCCTTACTGACATTAAAGCAGCAACTACACACACAAAAAAACAAAAAATTGTAATTTTTCACTAAAACAGATTTTGAAATTTCTTGCTAAAACCTTTACCTTCATAGTTAACACCTTTTGGTGATAAGAGACTATCCATAGCAGAAACAGAATTAAGAACAGAACAATAAACACAGAAGATTCCTAAACACAGAAACTTTATCACAATCTCCATCTAAGAGAAAGGAAGAACAAAAAAAATCTCAATTTTTTGTTCAATGTTATCGTTTTCCCGCAATTATTTGTGCCCCTTCTTCTAGGGCAAACCAATAACGCCAATAAAAACATTAAAGAAGAAGATTTTTTTTTTCCATTAATTATTTTGGTGGCCCGTTGATTC